GCACCGCCCACAGCGGCGCCGCGGCCCAGCACCGCCCACAGCGGCGCCGCCCGGGAGCGTCCCGCCGGGACCGGGACCGCGGGCCTCCCTCCCTTCATCCGGCCGGGACCGCGGGCCTCCCTCCCTTCATCCGGCCGGGACCGGGACCGCGGGCCTCCCTCCCTTCATCCCGCCGGGACCTTGGGCCTTCCTTCACCCCGGCCAGGGACCCGTGCTGGCTGTAAGGCAGGGGTTAAAAAGCATCATCATCCTAAACTGTTTCCGTAGTCGGGGAAAAGCGAGGTAACCCAGAACTTCTGAAAACCGGATGCTGCCTGCCGAGCACAGAGGGATTTGTACAGCATGAGGCGGTCTAAGATCTCCGAAATGCCAGCTGGAATGCTTCAGGGTGAAGCAGTTGTCAGATTGCATCCTGGTTCATTGTGGAAAAGGAGGTTTGGTACCCCACAGTCCTACTGCTACACCATGAACACCATCTCTGATAGTCAGCACCACTATTGGTAGCATCATTACTAGTTGTATCACCAATAATGCTACTACCCAGTGGAGAGACTCCACTTCTTCCTATGGTATGAAATGGCTTTTGGGGGAGAGAGACAGATTTAGTGTAATTATCGTCAAATCAAAATGAATTTATTACAGTTCTTATTGTTAGTTGGCACAGGGTTGAACAATTTTAATAGGCACAGTTTTAAGATCATCTTTAAAGGTCCCTTTCAATCCAAACCATTCAATGATTTTACGGTTTCTGGTTTTTTTATTAAACATAGTTTTAACACCTGACTAGCACATCCCACTGAATTTCAGCTACACAGAAAATGCTTCTTGGTTTTGATCTTGAAGGATTGCTTTTAGCCTGGATTGTTCCTCACTGTGGCTCTGGAGCAAGTGATGGGCATCCACTGCTTGGATGAGTCATGGCATGGGAAGCCCAGGAAAACACAGCTGGCATGCACCAGTGGCTGCACTGGGTGGCCAGGAGGATGCTGAGATGTGGATCCCAGGCTGAGCACTTCCCTTGGGGATGGAAATCCCCCAGACTGTAGTTTTTGGCAACATTTGTCAGCAGCCTCCATCTTTGTTCTGCTTTAGAAATCAGCCTGGAAGCCCAGATCCAGCCAGGGTCCAGATTTTCCCTGACTGCTGTCAATATCAATGAGTGAAAGAGCCCAGGATTTGTTCCAGGTAAGGCAAGTACAAGAGGATGTGTACATCCCTCAGATCTGATCCTCCATCACAGCCAACCCACACAGGTGATAGGGAGTGGGGAGAAGCACTGCCAAACGAGAGCTCCCACAGGTGCCAGCACACAGGCAGGGGCAAGGCAGAGGAGGGTGCTGCCATGCTGTCAGTGTTCCTGTTCCCATCACCTTGTGCTGCCTGCAGAAGGGAGGGGCAGAGGAGGGAAAGGGGGATTTTTTTTCTTGTTTCACCATAGGAAGGATTTTCAAACCCTATAAATTCACTTTTGACAAGTGAACAGCTAAAGCAGATTAACCTTTTTGCTAATCTTCTATAATGGCTTTGGAATCTCCTTAACCAATAAGAAAATGATAAGAGCCTGTTTCTTTTCTTTTTATCTATATCTATATTGTCCTCTCTTGTCTGCATGTTTTTTCTTTCTTGTTTTATTTTCCTTTCCTTTTCTAATATGAAATAGCCCAGTGATCCTATCTCTCAGAGGCTCAGTAAACAGAACATCAGAAATCCCTTTCCTTTATCCCTCTCTGGTAACAGGGTGCAGAGAAGTGTCTGCCGATTGGGATTTGATTACCAGCAGCTATCAAAAGTCTCTTTGTACAATCTGGGTCCTAAATCCCATAATTCTTTGATAAAAGAAGTATTACCAGTCCATTTTCTGTAGTGAAAGGTATGGGAGGAATGAAAGAAAGCAATCAGCAGAGATCCTAATAAGCTAAGTGCATGTGTGGTGGGAAGGCAGGGCTGGGACAGGATGCCCAGGGAAGGGTGTCCTTTGTTGAGGATGGCCAGGGAAGGGTGTCCTTTGTTGAGGATGGTGAAGGAGAATTAATCTGCTTCAGGCAAATGAACAGAACTCAGATCCTGCACCTGCCCATGGCATGTCCCAGCTCACCAGCCCTATGGTCCCTCTGGACCAACACAGTGTGGGGAGCAGAACCTGGCCCCACATCCACCATTGTGTGGTGTGGTTTTATACATGAACCCAGTGTTTGCGTTCATGTCTAAAAGCTGGGAGCAGTTTTCAGTGATCTCTGGAATTAAGGCATCCCCAGTGCCTCTCTGGGGCACTGACACCTTGGCAGGGCAGCAGTGAACATGTCCAGACTGTGCAGCTAAGAGGTGTCTTCGTCTCAAAAGGTAAAAAGGTTCACAGAGCTCAGTTATAAACCATGTTACAACGTTGGAACAGCTGAAGGAGAGGCAGATAAAGGGATGGAAGGAAAAATAGCAGTTTGGTTTTAAGTAAATCACAAGTAGAATGGCTATGGAGCAACTCTTCCCAGCACTGAGGGACCCGCAGGTGAGGAAAGGCAGGCAGTGAGCAGGGACAAGGACAGAAGAAGGGGGCTGAGAGGGGGCTCTCCTGGGGACTGGCTGTGAGTTTTACAGAATGCTGGAGGTATTGCTGGGCTGTCCAGCATGTGGATCTTTGGTGTGCAGTAGTTTCACAGCACCCACCTGTGTGTCTCCTTGGTGTACTGTGAGTGGGGCTGGAATCTTCACTCCCCTGCAAGGAAACACCAGGTGTGAGAGTGTTCCCTGCATCAGCTCCTGAGACCTTGCTACTCACCTTGGCTTAAACTGCACTGAGGGCAAGAGAACTTTGGTTTAAACTTTGCTAAGCAACCTGATCTCAACCACACCTTCTCTATTTTATTCCCAGCTACTAATATCAATTAAAAACACAGGATCCGAGATGTTCTCTCTCCTTCTGTGGATAACAGCTGCCAGGCCTTGCTGTTTGCCCTTGGAAGGGGCAGAGCCTTGATTTTCTTCCTGTCCTAAATCTTGGCCATGGCCTCTCCCATGTTTCTCTGGCTGGGAAGGAGTTGGGAATTGAACAGGCTTTGGGAAAGCCTGGCTGTGGCACTGAGTCCACAGTCCTGCCTGGATGGCTGCGGGACCTCACTGAGAGCACATAGAGGCAGCAGCAGCAGCAACAATCCTCCCCTTCCCTTCCCCACATGGCTCAGCTGCATGGGAGGTGGTTACATGCCACTAAGCTGTGGTGCAGAGCTCCAGAAAGCAGCCAGTAATCTAATTTATTAAGGGCTTTGAATCCTTACAAAGAGTATGTTGGATACATGCAAAGCATCTGCATTATTACAGTGATTAGGACAGCAGAGATGGGGGAAAGGGGAAGGAGGGAAAATACAATTTCTCTGCTTTCAGCAGAAAATAAATCAACTTTTACAGAGAATTCTGGCAAAGGCTGGGCTGTCATTAAAAATGACTTTTTATTAAGCTGAACTCTCTTCTCTTATATTGTATGATATGACAGCTTTCTTTTGATGGGAAATCTTTCATTTGGCCAGAGAAAGGGATAATTTGCTTCTTTTAAGGAGTTAATCCTCTGGTCCATTTCCAGGCTGGGAACAGCTATCCTCCCCCTTCCTTGGATAGGAGGCTGCAGCACAATGGAGATCATAACCACCTCAAATCTACACTCGAGATGGAGAAATCAGATTTCCTTCTCCAGTCATTTTTGTGGGATTAGCTAAATCTTAGATCCACACTAACCCTTCACAAAGCTGCCAAGATTAGTTAGAATTTATTTTATTTGCAGGGGGGTTTATGGTTTTCTTTCCAAAGGGATTATATCTTTCTCTCTATATATATTTAGAGTGGCTTCAGTCATAAAGCAGCTAGGTCAGAGGGACGAAAAGAGTGTGTGTGTATAAAATAAAAACTCAACTGTGAGAATGACAGTCACTTGAAATGCCAAGACAAAGCAGTGGTTCTGCATGGCTTTGCCAGTCCATTTTAAAAGCCACATAAGCTGTCCTTTCTCTAGCAAAACCCTGCTAGGGAGCCAGTGCACAGAGAGCAAAGCCCCTCGGCTGGGCCAGCCGCTGCTGCTGCTGCTGGCACAGGATGTCTTCAGAGCCAGTGTCAGGTGCTGACCCCGGCAGGAGAGGCCTGAAGAAGCCACGTCCGTTCAGCATCGAGGACATCCTCTCCAGCCCTGCAAAGAAGAACCCCCAGGTCTTGGTGCCACTGTACCTACAGAACATGTTGGACTGCACACCCAAGCAGCTGTGTGAGCTGGAGACCATCCCAGCCAGCTCCCTGCAGGAGGAGGAGGAGGAGGAAGAAGAGGAGGAAGAGCTGGAAGGGGCAGGCTGCAACTGCTGCTGCTGCTCTCACACGAGCGCCCGTTCCCTGCAGGACCTGCCGGGCTGGCTGGGTGAGTGTTTGGGTTTGATTTAGGTGTGGGGCTTGCAGAGGGGCTGGTGCAAGTGCTGTGGGCAGGGGAAAACCTGGGTGTTAAGTGGCAATATGGCATCTGGCCATGGTGGTCTTGGGCCCCAGGCCTAAGCTGTTCTCAGCAGGGGCCCTAGAGTGGGCACTTTCACCTGCAACGTACCGGGTTTGAAAAGCAGAGGGTGCTATTACCGGATATTACTGGTTTAGTGTGAAACTCTTGAGAGAATGATGCTTCTAGGGGTGCAAGCTCTCTGTGGAGTGCACACTGCCCATTTGCAGAGCTGTGCCTGCGCTTCCTGACAACACCAGCCCTGGGGAACCTCACTTACCCTTTAAGGAAAAGAATTTTGGCTACTATAGCAGAATTACTGTGAGAAAAAGATGTAACAAACCCTTAAAAATGCAGTTCAAGAGCATCCCAAAAGTTCAGAATTCCCTTGTGTCAGGACTGAAACACAGATCTTTGCTGGGCTGTGAGTTTGCAGTTATTTTCTGGAGCTGGCCATAGTGCAACTGGTAAGTGAAAGAAATACTTACCACCTGCATCCTTGTCCCAGAGTCATGCCCTAAATTCTTCTCCTACTTGCATAGTGACCACTCAGCTTGCCACCCACTCCAGGTGACTGGCTGCCTCCTTCCAAACTGTAGCAGGGATGCAACTCGTGCCTGAGCTGCTTTGAGCATGACGAGTATTTCAGCCCCACACCTCTAACACTGCTGCTGTCCCTGTCCCCTCGCAGATGCCCGGTTCCCCTGGCCCATGCAGCTCTTCCACCCGGCAGTCAGGGTCTGTAAGAGTACCCAGAAGTCAAGCGAGCTGCAGACCTTCCAGCAGATGCAGCGCCGCACACGCCGGCACCGCACCATATTCACCGAGGAGCAGCTGCAGGCCCTGGAGACGCTTTTCCACCAGAACCAGTACCCGGACGTCGTCACCCGCGAGCACCTGGCAAACCGTATTCACCTGAAGGAGGAGAGGGTTGAGGTGAGGTTCTGCCACTTGGTGAGGGGCTGCTGGCTGCAGTCCCCCAGGAACACAGACTGGGGCATTGTGCTGTCTTTTTTGGGGGGGCTGCAGATCCACGGCCTCATTTTAAAATCCATCCTTGTGCATTTGACAAAAGAGAGTTTAAGTTTGGCAAGCAGTGGAAGAATACAAACCATTTCAGCTGGGCTAATTTGTACTGGCATCCAGTCCCACAGACTCACACGATCCCTCCCTCCCAGAATCACCTGTCACACTCAGACATGGCCAGCTCTGCTGCTCATCCCCTGCTCCCAAGTATGTATTCCTTGCCTGGGTGATCTGTGTGACTTCTGAATTTGTCATGGGGGGATTTCCAACTCCCTTGTGCCCTTCTCATGTATCTGAGCAAGACTGCGGCAGAGGGACTGATTACATTTTGTACCACGCCTTCATATTACAGTATCTCACAGCCCACACAGTACAGCCCAGGAGGGTCACTGCCAGTCCCCCTCCCAGTAACATGTGACATGCAAAAGCCCTTTTCTTGTTTTGCACTTTCTAGGTTTGGTTTAAAAATCGTCGGGCGAAGTGGCGGCATCAGAAGAGGGTGACTGCCTCAGCACTGATCCTCCAGGCCAAGCAGCCCCCCAAGGAGAGCTGTTAGTGCTCACAGGCTGCAGAGGAACACCAACAGCACCCACTGCCCATAGCTGACAGGCTCAGGGGGGTAACCCGAGGGGGCTAATGCAGCAAAAGGGAATCTCTGCGATTCACGCAGGAGGAGGATGGGTAAAAGCAGACATACCTCCTCCAAATCTAGTTCATGTGGCATATAACTTGGCAGGCAGGATGTGCAGGGGACAGAGCTTTACAGGTGTTAAACGTGTGTGCTTTAAGAGAAGGGGAGACTCCCCTTCTTGTCTTTGCTCTGTGCACATAGTATTTGTGCTTGTTTTATTGATGTAGATTTGCAAAATATCCTACAAATGAATGTTTCCTGTTTGCAGCACCTCAGTGGCATCTAGAGTCGCTTTTGGGGTTGAACTTGCTGGACAAGCGATTTATTTAATAACAAAGAAACACGGTTTTCTCCCCATCGCCCTGGGGAGAGGTGATGACCCTGCTGTGGTGAGAGGGCTGGCACAGGCACCTTCACCCTGCTGCCAGCCGGTCCGTGTCACAGCGAGCCGTGCCCGTGTTCCCGGCGGGGCCAAGCAGCGCCCACGAGCTGGAAAGCAGCGACATCAATAAAACTGCCCTGTCACCCCCGCCCGAGCAGCCAGCCGGGGGTCCCGCTCCCCGGGAAGCCCGGGGTGGTTGTGAATTGGTCTGAAGAGACGGTGGGAGTGTTGGGGGGATGCCCCCGGCGCCCATCCCGTGTCCCATCCCATGTGTATCCCGGCTCCCACCCCGGTTCCCATCCCGGTTCCCACCCCGGTTCCCATCCCGGTTCCCACCCCGGTTCCCATCCCGATTCCCACTCCGATTCCCACTCCGATTCCCACTCCGGTTCCCATCCCGGTTCCCATCCCGATTCCCACTCCGGTTCCCATCCCGACCCTCGGTCGCTGCCACCGCT